CCGCCTCCTTCCAGCGAGCGGCCGCGCCCTTTTTGGCCACGCCCACCCGCGGGGGGTGGAGCACGCGCTCGCCCTCCTCCCCTTTCCTCCGAGGGGGCGTGTCCGGAGGGGCGTGGCCTCGCCTGGGAGGGGGCGGGGCTTGCCTGCACCGTTTCCACGGCAACCTGGGGGCGGGGCTGGGCTGCTCGGGCCGCTTGGGGGGCGGGGCTTGCATGCACCGTTTCCACGGCAACGTGGGCGTGGCCTCGATGGCGGCGGCCAATCGGCTGAGCCCGTGCGGCCACCGCGGCTGCTGCTACCACGGCAGGGGCGGGGCCATGGGCGGGGCCACGCCCCGCAGCCCCTCCCCCTTCGCCATGACGCCCAGCATGGCCGCCCGCATGGCCCAGTACTCCTCCCAGTACTCCCAGTACAACTCCGCCTCCTCCCAGTACAGCCCCGCCTCCTCCTCCCAGTACTCCCAGTACAGCCCCGCCTCCTCCCAGTACAGCCCCGCCTCCTCCCAGTATAGCTCCGCCTCCCAGCTCAGCGCCCAGTACCAATACCAGTACGCCCAGCTGGCCTCCCAGTACTCCCAGTACTCCCAGTACGGCGCCGCCGACGGCTCCCAGTACGCCGCCGACGGCTCCCAGTACGCCCAGTACGCGGCCAGCGCCGCCCAGTACGCCGCGTCCGGCGCCGCCGCCGCCGCCGCCGCCGCGTCATCGGGAGGGGGAGGAGCCACCGCCGACGGCTCCGCCCAGTACGCGGCGGCAACTGGGAACCAGTACGGGGCTAGCGGCGGGGGAGGGGCGGCGGCCACCACGGCGGCGACGGCCGCCGGGAGCGGGGGAGGGGCGGTGAGCTGGGCGGGGGAGGGGGGAGGGGCGCAGGAAGGGGGGGGATGGGCGGGGAGTGGGGGAGGGGTGAGTTGGGGGAATTGGGTGAGCCCTGCCCAGTGATGGGAGGAGGGGGAGGGGCGGGGAAAGGGGGAGGAGCTTGTGGAGGTTTGGGGGAGGGGTTTAAGGGGATGGCCCCTCCCCCCCACGGCCCCAAAAAAGGGGAATTCGGGGGGGTCCCGGCTCCGGATTTTGGGGATTTTGGGGTCCCGGCCCCGGATTTTGGGGTCCCAGTGCCAGATTTTGGAGGTGAAATTTCGGGTCCCGGTGAAATTTGGGAGTTTGGAGGCGAAATTTGGGGGTCCTGCCCCCTGAATTTTGGGAATTCGGGGGGGGTCCCGGTGAAATTCGGGGGTCTCGGTCCCGGATTTGGGAATTTGGAGGTGAAATTTGGGGTCCCGGTCTCAGATTTTGGGAGTTTGGGGGGTCCCGGCCCCGGATTTTGAGGATTTGGAGGTGAAGTTTGGGGGGTTCTGGTGAAATTTGGGAGTTTGGAGGTGGAAATTTGGGGGTTCTGGTCTCAGATTTTGGGGGCTGAGCCCAAAATTTTGGGGGGGTCCCGGTGAAATTTGGGGGTCTCGGTCCCGGATTTTGAGGATTTGGGGGTTCCTGGTGGAATTTGGGGGGGGTCCCAGCCCCGGATTTTGGGGATTTTGGGGGTCTCAGCCTCGAATTTGGGATTTTGGAGGTGAAATTTGGGGTCCCGGCCTCGGATTTTGGGAATTTGAGGGGTCCTGGCCTCGGAATTTGGGATTTTGGAGGTGAAATTTGGGGAATTCCTGGTGAATTTGGGGAATTTTGGGAGGTCCTGGTGAGTTTTGGGGGTTCCCGATGTCAAATTTGGGACTTTTGGGGGTTGGACCCAAATTCTGGGGGGGCCCCGGCCCCGGATTTTGGGAATTTTGGGGGTTCCCGGTGAAATTTGGGAATTTTGGGGGGTTCCCGGTGAATTTTGGGGGGTCCCGGCCCCGGATTTTGGGGGTTTTTAGCCCCAAAATGGGCGTGGCCGAGGCCGAAGCCACGCCCCCTTCGGTGGAATCGGTGGCGGCACTTCCGGGTTTGGCCCCTCCCCCTGCAGGCGATTGGCTGAGGTGAGAGCCGGAGGCGGGGCCAAGGGAAAGGGGGCGGGGCCAAAGGGGGAGGGGGCGGAGCTTGGGGGGAAAATTCCCAATTTCGGGGGTCAAAATTCCCAATTTTTGGGATAAAAATTCCCAATTTTTGGGTGGATTTTGGGGCAAAAATTCCCGGTTTTGGGGGAGGATTTTGGGGTGAAAATTCCCAATTTTTAGGGTGGATTTTGGGGCAAAACTCTGAGTTTTGGAGTCGATTTTAGGGTAAAAATTCCCG